GGTACGCGGGCCTCTCACTGTTGTGGCCTCTCCCGTTGCAGAGCACAGGCTCCGGACGCGCAGGCTCAGTGGCCATGGCTCATGGGCCTAGCCACTCCGCGGCATGTGGGATCTTCCCAGGCCGGGGCACGAACCCATGTCCCCTGCATCGGCAGGCGGACTGTCGACCACTGCGCCACCAGGGAAGCCCTTGTAGACTTTTTGATGGTAGCTGTTCTGACAGGTGTGAGGTGATATCTCACTGTGGTTTTGATTTGCATTTCCATGAATGATTAGTGATGTTGAGCATCTTTTCGTGTGCCTGTCGGCCATGTGTATGTCTTCTTTGGAAAAATGTCTATTCGTGTCTTCTGCCCATTTTTTAATCAAGTTGTTTGATTTTTTGATACTGAGTTGTATGAGCTGTTTATATATTTTGGATATTAACCCCTTATCGGTCCTATCATTTGCAAACATTTTCTCCCATTCAGTAGGTTGTGAAACTAGTCTTCTTGCTTGAAAATGCTGTAATAACATCACTTGGGGCAGTCTGCATTCCCCTCAAGAATCACCCAGCTGAGTGCTGTCTGACCTACTTTTTACCAGCAGACCCATCACTAGGATCTCATCATACTCTGGCAAAGAAAGCACAAACTCTGAAGAAGAAATAACTTACACACCAAAAGAATTGCAAGATTTTGCTATTAAATATGAGCAAAAGCCTGGGGAATGTGTGTGGACGTGGATTCTAAGAATGTGAGATGAAGGACAAACACTAAATACCTTGGGCCAAATTTACTGATACGGGTGCACTTATATCGATACATTCTGGATTGATGTGTTAGGACATATAGCTGGACATGGCTCTATACTTGATTGGTTCACCAAAAAAACTCAGTGGTGGCCTTCATTTAATGAAGTTGAGATACCAAAGCTTCCCTGGCTTTGTGCAGAGGGAATTCAAAGACAGGGAGATAGGAGTGTCAGAGTAGACATATTTTGTGTGACTTGCATACCATCCCCCACCTTCCCTAACTACATTCCTTGAGAGTGCCAGCTTAAAACAACAAACATTTAATATATCTCACCGTTTCTAAGGGTCAGGAGTGGTTTAGCACTGGCTCAGGGTCTCCCACAAGGCTGCAATCAAGATGTTGGCTGAGACTGTATTATTTAAAGGCTTGCCTGGGGCTGAAGGATCTGTTTCCGAGATGGTTCACTCACATGGCTCTTGGCAGGAGACCTCAGTTTGTCACTGCATGAGCCTCTCCACAGCAGTTTGAGTGTCTTCACATCACAGCAGCTGGCTTCCTCCAGAGCAAGTGACCCAAGGGAGAAAGAGCAAGGCAAAAAAGCCACAATGTCATGCAGAGCCTTGGAAGTGAGGCTGTATTCTATTGATCACATAGACCAACCGTGATACCTGTGGGAGAGGATCACACAAGGGCAAGAATACCAGAGGCAGGGATCCCTGGGATCCACCTTGAAAGCTGGCTATCACAGCAGCTTGGCCTTCCACCAACTAACTTTGCTGTTTTCCTTCCCTGTAGACACTCTCGTGAGGCTTCTGAGGGCCAGGCTCAGGGAGCCAGTCTGATCATGGTTTAGTGGAGGTTTGGTTTATCAATCTTGGGAATATGTTGAAGTGATGGGCTAAGAACTGTGTGAAGAACTTCAGTGAGAGAAATTAATACTGTGCATTTTTCCCCCAACATTGAAGATTATAGTGGGACCATGGATCTGTTTGGAGACATAGATGACATTTCTTCAGAGAGTGACGGGGACAATCAACCACCCATTTCAGGACAGCCTGTTGCTGTAAGTACAATTACAAATCTCAACTGGGCCCATTGTTCAAAGTTAAGAAAAAAGTTTCAGAGGCTGATGGGTCATGTAGGGAGGGGACATGGATAATGAATAGCAGTCTGAAACATCTGACGAATGGGTGACTTTCTTAGCTATGTTGGGAATTTCTGGATATTAAAGGGAATGGAAGGAATTGCTCAGAATGAATTTGATGCCAAACTTTAGGGGCTAGACTGTGAGGATGCATAATTTGAAAACCTTTGATTTAAAAGTTTTTCTTATTTACACATGTGCCAAGAAGTGTGTACTATTTGACATTCTTCTCTGATTTTAATACTTACTTAGCATTGAGGGGTTGCATAATTTCAGACATCTGTTGCTAAATATCTTAAGCAAGCTAGATATGTCAACATTTTTTCTGGTAATGCAGGCTAACAGGTCTTGTTTTGCATGGTGGTTTTTTTTGGGGGGTGGGGAGAGGATGAAATTTTAAGGAGAGGCCTGGAGGGGTTGCCAACTGCTTTATCTCTGAAGGAGTGTCCAGGTTTACTTCTGGTCACACCTGCATCTGCCTAGTGCAGAAGGAGAGCTAGAGCATTTCTAATGTCAACTCAGGCTCTCACATTCTGATTCTCTCTTAGGATGGACGTGGAGTGCCTCAGGACCAGCAGGAGGAAGAGCCAATTTCTGAAACCAAAATAGAAGTAGAAATTCCCAGCGTCAACTGTGATTTAGGAAATGAATTGTACCTTGTTAAACTACCCAAATTTCTCAGCATAGAACCCAAGTAAGAGAACTGATTAAAGGTTTTTTTTTTCCCCAAGATATTGAGTAAAAACATGTGGAATGTAAATGTTTTTCTTATTTATAAAGAGTTGGCTAATCACAGAGGTGGGAGATTTCTCATGTAACTCTGAAAAAATAAATTTAGAATGTGCTGTGGTAGAAAATGATGAATTACTGGTGTGAGAAAGTTTTAATGCTAATAATTCTTCTAGCACTTTGGCACTTTCTTATAAATGAGCAGACATAGCTGATGAAGGTATTTTTCACTATCATAAAGCTGAAAAATTGGAAAATGAGAAAGTTTTCTAGAGAAATCACAAATGTTCAATGCAAAAGCCTTTGTGAATCTAGAAACGACCACAATTTTAGACAACAAAATAGTGTTGATGGGTATTATTCACGATGGTGCACTATTGCAAGCTCTTATGCAATTAAACATGACACTTTTCTTAAAAAATATGAAAAGAGATCATGTGTCACCTATACTTTAGAGGACATACGTCACAGAACAAAAATATAATTTAAAAACTTTGAACTATTAGTCACGTTTGGATTTTATTTCAGGTAATATGTTTTAAAATCAAATTTCAAGGAAGTACAGTAATTTGCATACTTTTTGAAGTTTTACATGAAGTTATTTGTCTACTGTGATTTTTTTAACATATTAGTGCATGTTGTAAAGATTATTATTTTATACATTAATTATATTCAGTACTAAAGATGGCTAATACTACATTAAAAAACAACTTTTAGGCCTTTTGATCCTCAGTATTATGAAGATGAATTTGAAGATGAGGAAGTGCTTGATGAAGAAGATAGAACCAGGTTAAAATTAAAGGTACCATTTCACACTTTATTCCTGTGTTTGTTTTTTTTTGAGTTTTTCCTTTTATAAAGTAAAACAAAGGGGTAACAATTTGAGACCAGCTTATAAAATGATCTTTATGTTTATTGTCATAAACAATGTACAAATAACTGCTTAGAACAAGGAATTAAATATCTTTTCAGAATATTTTTAGAGGAGAAGGTATATATTCTTTTTAAAAAATCCTTGTAGAATTGTCACTATTTTAACCTTTCTTTTGCGGTTGTAATTTTTCGACAGAAGTAAAGATAAAAATTCTTGAAAATTGTTAGCTATTTCCTTCAGGATAAATAATAACGTAGCTAGGTATACTGAACTGCCTTCACATTTTATTGTGGATAGATCCAAGCAGCTTCCCACAATAAGAGTATCTCAGACTCTTTATGGAAATTCAGGTTATGCACAGAAAATAGGCCTTGTCATTAGGTGGTCTCCCTCGAGAAGGCCTGGATGGCAAAACCCTACCATTGCTCTCACAGGGATGGCGTTGCCTTTAACCGGGTTTTGAATGAGCTTCTGCCTGAGGCCGCAGTGGTAGCCGTGGCAGGATCCATTTTTATGCTACTTTTGTAATTTGGAGTTCCCCACCATAAGGGTAGGGTAAAGCAAAAGTCTCAGGTTTTAATCTGTTGTTTATTACTTAATTGTATATTCTTTTTAAAATTAATACTCAGAGCTTCCCTATCTTACTAGGCGAATGGGTCCTTTTTTAGTCCTTCTTTCTCTGGGTTCATAGCCTTCAAGTTGAGCTGCAATAGACAGAGATCTCAGTTGTAACCGCCTACCTCATATGGCCCCGAAGTTTTTGCTTCCACTGCCATGAACTGGAGCTCAGAGAAGATTAAAACAAAATGTCTGTTGAGTTCAACCAGTATCTCTAGGTATCTGTAGCAGGAAGGTTTCCATGTTGTCTAATCAGCTATTTTGCGGTGAGCTTATTCTCTTACCATTTATGAATTCTTGGCACATGATTACAGGTCACTTGAGGAAAAAAGAGCATGCAGTTAGTAACACGGGTTTTCTGATGCCTCTGTGTTTTGAAACAGATAGAAAATACTATACGATGGAGGATACGCCGGGACAAAGAAGGAAATGAAATTAAAGAAAGCAATGCTCGGATAGTCAAGTGGTCCGATGGAAGGTGAGCATAAATGCCTGAAGAGTATGGAAATGCCCAGAGGGAGGCCTGGGATGAATGAAGTTTTCTGCGTAGGACCGTATTTTGGGATCATCTTTCATTAAAGAATCAACAAGATCTAGGCCTCTGGCATTATCTGGGAAACCTGGGAGAAATAAATAAGGTTAAGATCACAGTGCAGCACTGGGATACTCTAGTCACAGACCCAAGATGTGATCAAATTCACAGTATTTACCTTATTGAGATGAAAGCCTAATCTTAGTGCCCATTTGTGATAATTGGACATTATAAATTGGTATGTTTGCAAAAATGGTTTCTATTTTACTAATGAAATGGTAGAGATTGGGAAAATGATAAAAACAATTATATTTGAAGTTGAAAGGAAGATGGATTTTACCACCTTGTACTTTGAAAGGTTAGGTTAGTTGTTTCCAGTATCTTTTCTTTGTTTTTCTTATGAATTCACTATGGGGACAGGATCCTGCAGTTCCACAGCATTTTAAGGACAGCTAACAGGGTAGAATGGAAGCTGTAGGATTTGTTAAATATCCACGCTAGTAACTGAACTATTTCTTGTTTCCAGCCTGTCCCTGCATTTAGGCAATGAGGTGTTTGATGTTTACAAGGCCCCGATGCAGGGCAATCACAACCAGCTGTTCATTAGGGAAGACACTGGTCTGCAGGGACAAGCCATCTTTAAGTCCAAACTCACCTTCAGGTAACTATTCATAGCGACCCACAGCTACTTGGCAGTTAAAGAGCAACAGGGCAGAGAGGTTGGCTGTGCACAAAGCCCGCCTCAGTCCTGATTGACCTGATTTTGAGGTGCAGCTCACCAAGGCCCGTGGTTTGGTTCCCATGCTATTTTTCACCTTTGCAACAAGTTGCTGTCCCTCAGGGAGCCAGTTCACGCTATGGAAACCAACATGAGCCCGCCGTACAAACCAGAAGACCGGTTATTAACTCACATTGATTGACGCACCTGGTAAGAGGCCTGGACTGTCTGTGCTGCTCTGCTGGTCAGCGTGTCCCTTCCCTTCAGGGACGTTTACCTGGGAAGCCTGCCGATCGCGAGCATGCTCTTGGTGTGCGCATGCGCCAGAGGAAGGGGCTGCCGCAGGGGCTGGTGTGTCATTGTCCGCAACTGTGTTTGCTGTTGGTATGATTGCCTCCAAATATTCTTTGTAAACAGTGAGACGTTTTTTTCTGTTTCCTGCAGACCTCATGCTACAGACTGTGCCACACTTAGAAAGATGACCCTGCTACTTGCTAATAGATGCTCGAGGACACAGAAGATTAGAATCTTACCAATGGCTGGTCGTGATCCTGAATGCCAGTGCACAGAGATGGTTAAGGTATGTTGGCTGAGATTTATCCTGGGATTGTCTGGGGTATTAAGAACTGTGCTTTCCAGAATGTTAATTCATCATTTCTTATTGTCACAGCTGTTTTATTTCTTGTGGTTATCAGGGAGTCTGCTTAACCTTCTAAGCATGTGGTTAACCACAGTAATTGTCATAGTCAATGGCTGATGGTGAGATACAGCAATCCGGACCCTTGGGTGTTCTCTCTCCAATCTATGAGATTTCAGAGGGAAACTAGTAATTTAAAAATATAACCCGGGCTTCCCTGGTGGCGCAGTGGTTAAGAATCTGCCTGCCAGTGCAGCGGACACGGGTTCGACCCCTGGTCCGGGGAGATCCCACATACCGCGGAACAACTAAGCCCGTGGGCCACAACTACTGAGCCTGCACTCTAGAGCCCACGAGCCACAACTACTGAAGCCCACGCACCTAGAGCCCATGCTGTGCAAGAAGAGAAGCCACCGCAATGAGAAGCCTGTACACCGCAACGAAGAGTAGCCCCTGCTTGTCGCAACTAGAGAAAGCCCACGTGTAGCAACAAAGACCCAATGTAGTCAAAAATAAATTAATTAATTTTTAAAAATCTTTATATAAAAATATAACCCTTGATGTACATCATTAAACTGTGTTAACCAGATAGGAGGTGATGTGGGAAGGTCATGAGGACATTCCTGACTCAGTTGACACTGGCTCTGCCTAGTGAACCCCAGTGTGTAGAAGAAGCCAGGCAGATGGAAGGGAATGAAGGCTCTGCTTTGGGGCTCAGGGACCCTCCCCACCAGAACCTCCCCATCCTGCCATCAGGAGCTGTGGGGAGCTCTCTGGGTTGAGGGCCCCAGACTGGAATATGTGGGCACCATGGTAGTTTGGTGGAGCCTGGGCAAGTCGGGTGTCTGTCTCAGGGGTGAAGAGAACCCGCCTCCCTCAGGCGTCCACTGGGCATGAACGAGGTTCCTCAGGCTGGTCGCCGCACTCTGGGCTCTGCCTGGCAGCACAGGGGACGCTGCATCTCCCAAGGCTGTGCCGGTGCCACTTCTGATGGGGCGGTTGGTGTGAGGGAGGGAGCCTTTGCCTCTTCACCCTGTGTTGTCTTCACGCCTTCGAACTGCACAAGATGATGACCATGTGTGGTAACAGAGGTGTAAAATGGAGAGAACTGTACCCTGAGGACATAGGAACTGGTGTTGTCCTGGGCGAGGCATTTACGTGTTCTTTACAGTAAAGTAGTTTCAAGGGGGCACTAAGTGAGTTCATTTTTTGTTTTAAAGTTCAGTAATTTATTTGCTTCTTTACAGAAAGAAGAAGAACGTTTGAGGGCTTCTGCTCACCAGGAGACCATCCATCTGTGGGAAAAGCAGAACCAGCGGGGGCCGAGTGCCCCCTACCAGGGCCCCAGCAGTGGTGAGGAGGGTGAAGCCAGCAAGAACCATGGCCGAGGTGAGTAGGGAGAGGAGGTCACGCTTCACCATCTCAGGGCCGTGGGAGCGATTGTGCTCTGGTGGGCTCTTACTGTCTTGCTGTTATTCACTTAGGACAACAGTACCAAGGCCTTTTATTTTGTTTTCCCTAGGACCACTTTGCCACACAAAAGCTTAGCTGGGAAAATAAGGCACTCCCATAATAAAGAAAATCAATTAAATAATTTTGTCCTTATGGAGGAAAATGTGTAACAGGCAGTTCTCCTGCTTGTATAGGGACCCAGTGTTTAAACTTTGTAGTTTTAAAAAATGTGGGGCTTCCCTGGTGGCGCAGTGGTTAAGAATCTGCCTGCCAATGCAGGGGACACAGGTTTGAGCCCTGGTCTGGGAAGATCCCACACGCTGCGGAGCAACTAAGCTCGTGCGCCACAACTACTGAGCCTGCGCTCTAGAGCCTGGGAACCACAACTACTGAGCCTGCGTGCCACAACTCCTGAGCCCGCATGTCACAACTAGTGAAGCCCGTGTGCCTAGAGCCCATGCTCCACAACAAGAGAAGCCACCGCAATGAGAAGCCTGTGCACCACACCGAAGAGTAGCCCTTGCTCGCCACAACTAGAGAAGGCCTGTGTGCATCTACGAAGACCCAATGCAGCCAAAAATAAGAAATAAATAAAATAAATTTTTTAAAAAATGTGTGCACGAATCCCCTCGGGTATTTAAAAATGATCAGACAATCTCTCCGAAGGAAAAACCTCTCCAATCTAAGTCATTTAAGCATGTTTGAAAGCTGTACATACTTCTTTATGAAAACTTTAAAAAATTGTTGGCTCCTCAAGGGAAATATATGGTGGGAAGTAGCAATATTCAAGAGTAGAAAAATTCAGGAATAAATGGGTCTTCATCTTTGAAGGTCAATCCCATATCTAAAGTCCTTTGCTTTCAGAGGAGAGGGCCAGAATCTGTTCTTCAGAGAGTGATGAGGGACCAGATGAAGATAAGGCTCAAAGATCGCTGAGAGCAAAGAAGCTCACCAGTGATGGGGTGAAACCAAATTTATTCAGTCTGAAGGGGTTTGCCCTGTAGCCACAAGTCAACTCCTGGAATGAAGAGGAACTCACAGCCCTGGAGCACAGACAGATGTCTACACACCTCCCTGTAACTCAGTGAGATGAATGCAGTAATAAGCCTAGACGTGGCCCAGAGGAGGGCCTGACACCTGTGCGCGGTGGGAGACTGCCCAGAGCAGGTGCCGTCTTGCTGGTTGCTGAAGGAAGAGCGTTAGGGTGGACATGCCAGAGGATGGAGAGGGCTGTGAGAAAAGACACATGGCTGAGACCCCAGGGCTCGACCAGAGAGTTAGAAGTAGCTGAGTACAGTAGAGCAAGGGGCCTCTCGCCTTCATCATGGGTATGATAATAGTGGAGGGTTAGTTCGTTTCCATGTTGTTAAAATTATTTTCCTTTAATTATTTCCTTTTCCACTTACAAGAGCACAAGTGCAAAGAAAATGTGAGTCTTAATTACCCAAGCAAATCGCTATGTTGTTGCCATTGTGCCATAGTCATTCATCCATTGTTTTCTGAACACTTAACATGCTCCGCTATGGGTTTGGAGTTACAGATCAGAGGAAACATCTCAGTAATAGAAATCGGCCTTACTGTGTAATGGAAGCACTAATTTTTCATGTGAAAAAAATATATTTAAAACTTGGAAAGCATACTAAAAAAGCACATAAAACACAAGCAGTCCTTCTAAAAAAATTGACAGGCTTTAAAATACTGAATTTTAGATAGAGAAAGTGAAGTACTGAGGAAGCAGAGGTATGTATTTCAAGTAATAATGAGCAGAATCCCCGTCAGGATAGAGTGAGGTGTCCCTGAGCCCTGACTGCTGCCCAGGGAAGCCCGTGCTCCCCTTGTCTGACCTGTAGAGACAGTGTTTGTGGACAAGGTCGCCGCTGGTGGGTAGGGTTCTAAGAAGGGCTAGCTCCCCCATCAGCTCAGAACTACTCAAGACAAAATTTCCAGAAACGTTCAGTATTAAATTTTACACCTTCTCTCTCATATCTGTTCAGGAGGTGAACCCTCCAGAAAGAGGAAAGCAGGCGGCGAAGAAGAAGAGGATGACTGAAGCATGAAATGCGTGCTTGCTGTAAGTATGGTTTTCAACTGTTTGTTTTAAAACAATGATGAAATGACTTGTTTTGATTGAAGGGAGGAATTGAGTTGCTTTTGCATAATCCGAGTTGTGGTTAAAAAATGTTCAGAAGCAAGTCTGTGACTTTAGAAAATACATTCTTCCCAAATGAGAAGTTTATTTTGGTAACTGTCTGCTCTGGGTCTTGGGTTTCCTTGTCCGAGCAGGTACAGCACGGGAGGGCTCGCTGGAGACGCGGTGCTTTGCCAAGTGCTGCATGGACCTTACCAGTTCTAATCCTCAGAACAACTCAAAGGGCAGCTGCTGTTATTCTCATTTTACAGACATGGAAGCTGAGTTAGAACTTAAGACCTCTGTCCAAAGCTTTTTCTTAAGTTAAAAACAAAAACATTTTTGAGACAAGAGTCAGGAACTTATTTGCACAGCAGTCACACTGCTGAACAGATTACATTAGTGACCTTATGGAGAAAGACACCCAAAATATCTGAGAGAAATGGTCACCAAAAGGTTTAGAGAAAAAAGAGCAGTGGGAAACAAAACACTAGATTTGACTTCTAGCTTTGTGACTGGTGCAGTAGCTGGAACATAATAGGTGCATAAAAATTATTTATTGAATGAACAAGCCAATGATATTATCTTGGGGAAGTTATTCAACTTCTCTGAAGTCAGTTTGCTCAACTTGATGGGATTTGGACTTGACCATGTAAATTCTTCATGATTTAATGTTTACATTCCTCTACCTCTGAGAGTTGAATACTAATTAGATACATTTTTTTAGAAGTCTTTTGTTAAATAGAAATGGTCAAAGAAAAGGAAATGGCCCATCATCTTACCACGCAGAAAACCTGGATATACATTATATTTCCCTCCCTTTTATATTTTTAAAGTATAATTTCATAGTTGTGCAGTAAACAGAGACATAATTAGCACCCGCTCCAGAAAGGCCATTTAGAGACTCATCCAGAATGCTGAGAAGTACTAGCACAGTTCAATCATAAAGTCAGCTATTCTTTTTTTTTTTAATTTTATTGAAGTAAAGTTGATATACAATGTTGTGTTAATTTTTTATGTACAGCAAAGTGACTCACTTATACATATGTATATATATACTTTTTCACATTCTTTTCCATTATGGTTTGTCACAGGATATTGAATATAATTCTCTGTGCTATACAGTAGGATCTTGTTTTTTATCCATCCTATATATAATAGTTTGCCTCTGCTAATCCCAAACTCCCATTCCTTCCCTTTCCTATCCCTCCAAACCCCTTGGCAACCTCAAGTCTGTTGAGCTGCAAATGGCATTATTTCATTCTTCCTGATGGCTAATATTCCATTGTATATCTTCTTTATCCATTCATTCATTTAGGTTTTTCCATGTCTTGGCTATTGTGAATAGTGCTGCTATGAACATAGGGGTGCATGTATCTTTTCGAATTAGTTTCATCTGGGTATATGCCCAGGAGTGAGATTGCTGGATCATACATCAACTCTATTTTTAGTTTTTTGAGGAAACTCCATACTGTTTTCCATAGTGGCTGCACCAGTTTACATTCCCACCAACAGTGTAGGAGGGTTCCCTTTTCTCCACACCCTTTCCAGCCTTTGCTGTTTGTAGACTTTTTAATGATGGGCATTCTGACTGGTGTGATGTGGTACCTCACTGTAGTTTTGACTTGCATTTCTCTAATAATTAGTGATTTTGAGCATCTTTTCATGTGCCTATTGGCCATCTGTATGTCTTCTTTGGAGAAATGTCTATTTAGGTCTTCTGCCCACTTTTCGATTGGGTTGTGTTTTTTTGTTGTTGTTGTTGAGTTGTATGAGCTGTTTGTATATTTTGGAAATTAAGCCCTTGTTGGTCACATCATTTGCAAACATTTTCTCCCAGCCCGTAGGCTTTTTTGTTTCGTTTATGGTTTCCTTTTCTGTGCAAAAGCTTTAAGTTTGACTAGGTCCCATTTGTGTATTTTTGTTTTTAATTTCTCTTGCCCTGGGAGACTGACCTAAGAAAACATTGGTATGATTTTTGTCAGAGAATGTTTTGCCTGTGTTCTCTTCTAGGAGTTTTATGGTGTCATATCTTATGTTTAAGTCTTTAAGCCATTTTGAGTTTATTTTTGTGCATGGTGTGTGGGTGTGTTTTAACTTCATTGATTTACATGCAGCTGTCCAACTTTCCCAGAACCACTTGTTGAAGAGACCATCTTTTTCCCATTTTATATTCTTGCCTATTTTGTCAAAGACTAATTGACCATAGGTGTGTAGGTTTTTTCCTGGGCTCTCTATTCTGTTCCACTGATATGTATGTCTGTTTTTGTGCCAGTACCACACTGTTTTGATTACTGTAGCTTTGCAGTATTGTCTGAAGCCTGGGAGGGTTATGCCTTCTGCTTTGTTCTTTTCCCTCAGGACTGCTTTGGCAATTATGGGTCTTTTATGGTTTCATATAAATTTCAGGATTATTTGTTCTAGTTCTGTGAAAAATGTCATGGGTAATTTGATAGGGATCACATTAAATCTGTAGATTAGGTCAGCTGTTCTTTATAAGGGCTGGCCTTGAGGCTCTGCTACTTCAGCAACAGGGCAGTTGGGCCGAGCCTAGAGGCCCTCAACCCTTGTAGACAAGGTGGAAAGCTTAATATTTGAAGGCCAAAAGATGTTTGGGGATTTTGGACCCTCTCATTGTTTGGTGCTTGGAGAAGGGTGCCACTGGGCTGAGCATGAGGGCACTGTCTCCCACAGCCACAGCTCCTGGCACCACATCCACTCAGACTCACAGGAGCTGGAGTTACCTGACAACCCAAGCACCCGAGCCTCCAACAGGCATCAAGCCTTCCCATATGTGAACATAAGCCCGACAGCCATCCTTGGAAGGCCAGCCAACACTAAAGATTCAAGGGGAATTTCGTTATTGCTTAAGTTTCAAAATTCAATTATTTGATGTTTATCCCTAAAAGTTTCCTCAAACCCATTACACGTTGCGCTGATTTTCTTTTGGTTGGTGGATATAGGTGACTGATGAGAGATGTCTTTGTTTTACTGCAAAAATAATCTCTAGTTTAATAGCTGGATTGGCTCCCATCAGGCCCAGAACGCACTGTATCATAGGTCCCTGTTTCTTCGTATTTGTCAATTTTTAAAAAAAAACTCGGTTTTTTTTTTAAAATTTTTTTGCGGTATGCGGGCCTCTCACTGTTGTGGCCTCTCCCGTTGCAGACGCACAGGCTTAGCGGCCATGGCTCACGGGCCCAGCCGCTCTGCAGCATGTGGGATCTTCCCGGACCGGAACACGAACCCGTGTCCCCTGCTTTTGCAGGCGGACTCTCAACCACTGTGCCACCAGGGAAGCCCTTTTTTTTTTTTTTTTTCAATTTGATTTTATGGACAGACCAGACGGAGTACTGATGGTATGAGATTGAACCGTATGAACTTACTATTTTTATGGGTATAAATGGTCACGTATTGACAGTTTTATATGGTTTAACTTAATAGGGTAGGAAAGAATAACTCAGGGAAATTAATAAACTTGTTCTTAAGAGGTGTGTAAGGAATGAACTTTAGAACATAGGCACTAAATGGATTTTCCAAAAAGTCCAAGTCTACAGTATATTTGATAAACTTTAGTGAAATTATTTATTCCAATATGAAGTGGTAAATTCTAAATGTCTATAGTCCATATTTTTCAAAAGAACTTTCACTGTGCTAATAAGAGCCAATAATATTAATATTTTGTAATATTTAAGTATCAGTATTATAAAGTTCAGTTTTTATATTTATAAAAATTGAAAAAATAAAGCATTTATAGCATTTTAGAGTTAAAAAATGTATTTAAATGCCCAATTTCATGTGACAAAGAATGATGCACTGTTATAAAGGTAATTTTCAAGCTTTTAAACATAACTAAAACCAAATATAATTCATCCAAAAGAGTGAAAAAAAATGTGGGCATTTATTCAAAATTACAAAGGTTTTTATGCTATGTGTGTGTGTAAATGCACATGTATGCATGCAATTTTTTTCACAATTTTTGTTTTACAATTCTTAAGCAGACAGATCTAAAAAGTTTAAACAACTGAATCAAAGACATTTTTTCTTTTGTGAGTTAAGGTGAAATTTAAACTCCTAAAAATTGCTATACACAGCCACCAAGAAGCACCCAGACTCTGTTCTTAAACCTAACCCTCTGAGTGGACTACAATATCTGACAGAAAAATTTTAGGCCTATTAATCGCTTTGCAGCACTTAAAACATATTGATAGTCTGTAGAAAAGGAAGTTAAGCCTCACATATGTAGACTCCATGGGAGTTTATCTTAAAAGTGTAGGAACTTGAACAATGCTAACAAGACATGGCTGGTGGTGTTTCACAGTGTTACAATCTATTCTTATCTAGCCACTAGAGCAAATGTCCTAAGTAAAAGAAGTCTTTATATGTCAATGAAGGCTGTCTAAAATACTTGGTAATGGTTGACAAGATTGGCTCCTCTGAATGATCAGACTGCAGGTTAGAGTTCAGCATTAACAAACTGTTATAAATGTTTTATTATAAAAAAATTTCCAATTTTTTCAGTTTTTATAGGGAAAGACTTACGGAACTAAATTATAATGCAGAAAAATCAATATGACATAAGAAAGAATGACATTAAAATGACATAAGGGGCTTCCCTGGTGGCGCAGTGGTTGAGAGTCCGCTGCCAATGCAGGGAACACGGGTTTGTGCCCCGGTCCGGGAAGATCCCACATGCCGCAGAGCGGCTGGGCCCGTGAGCCATGGCCGCTGAGCCTGCGCGTCCGGAGCCTGTGCTCCGCAACGGGAGAGGCCACAACACTGAGAGGCCCGCATACCGCAAAAAGAAAAAAATGACATAAGAATATAAAAATCTTTGCTTGTTGTAAATATAATTTTCTCAATTTAAAAATTTGTGAAGAGTTCCTTTGACTGAGAAGTAGCTAGAAACATTAACTGTCGTATGGGGAGAAACAGCCAGAAACATTAATGTTCAGTGGGAGCTGATGGAAAAGATGGTTCTATAGATGTTTAGACTGAAGAACTCACGCCCCTTGATAGGAGGTGCTCTGACACATCCAATTTGCTTGGTTCTTGTGGGTGCCATGTCTTTAGTTAATACTGTTCGAAAATTGAGGGCATTATGCTAAATAAGTCAGAGAGAAAGACAAATAAATATTGTATCATCTCACGTATCAGAATCTAAAAAAACTAAATTCATAGATACAACAAGCAGAGTGGTGGTTGCCGGAGGTGGGGCACGGGGAGTGGGTGAAATGTGTGAAGGTGGTCAAGTGGTACAAACTTCCAGTTATAATAGAATGTCCTATGACTAATGTACAGCATAGTTATGACAGTTATACTGTATTACATATTTGAAAGTTGCTAAGAGAATAGATCTTAAAAGTTCTCATCACAAGGAAAAACATTTTTTAAAACTACGTGAGGTGATGTTTAAACTTATCGTGGTAATCATTTTGCAGTATGTGCATATATCAAATCATTATGTCGTACACCTTAAACTCATACAATGTTATATGTCAATTATCTCAATAAAACTAGAAAAAAAATTTTTTAAGTGAACTGGCATTTGAAATGAAGGAGCAAAACTGGACAGTACTGAACTTACAGAGAACGGAAATTGCTATGGACTCTAGAAAAACAGTGATCCTTGTATCTGCTGGGAGGTAACAGTGATTCCTGATTTTATAAGGAAAAAGTGAGGCAGTCCTGGGACCACAGAGCGAAAATTTAAAGATTTTATGAAACCTCATGAATTATTTAATCTTATTTTAATGGTAGCAAGGGTTAAGTATAATGTACAATAGAACATGACTAACATTTTATCAAAACATTTTTTCTTTTATAATTTTCAGTATACCATGGACTCCCCTTTTTAAATGAAAAAATATCAGATGCTGTCAACGGAAAAACAATATACAAAGCTCTATACATGTAACTTTTCCAGAGGACACCTACTGTACAAAGCAAGTATATGGATTATTTCATTCAAATAACGAGAATCTGCAGTTTAACAATCAAGATGTAATTCTCCTTAAGATCTCTAACAATCTGCTAATTTTTTAAACACAAAATGTTTATTTGGTCTCTTAAACGACAGGCACCGCACCATTAGAAAATGTATTTCACCTATGAATTAGACTTCTACTAGGCTTTAGCTCCAAGTGTACAGCACCAAAATCCATTTTAATAATATCAATATTATTAATATTGATTTTTAATACATACAATTTCATGCAAACTGGAAGAATTAGAACTTCCAATATGAATATAAAATTTTATAAAATGGGAAATTAAAAGCTTTTTAAAAAACAGCAATTTAAAAATGCAAAGAATAGTCTTTGCTTAGGTAACCAGATAAGCTTACATTGGTTACACTATAAAAACTTAGTCTTAGAAAATCTTTGGTTTAAAAATCAAGAGTATTTCACAACTCCAATCTGTTACAAAAAATTTTAGAGAAATACAGAAATACTGAAAGTCACTAAAAGGGTAAGAGGTGCCAAATTTTTAAAGATCAAAGTAAACATCAGTTTTCTCCCTTGTCATTACAATTCTTGAAAGATTTTCTGCATTTAATCAGATGAATGTTCACCCTTATTTATTAAGAAATCTTTTCTTCAATTATATAATGAACTATTGTAGCTCAGAACTGGAATGGTACAAGGAAAACACTCAACTTCTTCATACTTTGATAAATAATAAGTGGAAAAGATATTACCCCAAGTATAACACACAATTTTAGGTGGGGCCCACCTACCTATATTTAAAAAAAAGCTTTGGGGAGGAAAGGGTAACATACTTAGCAATTTACTGACTGACTGACAGGGCCGGGGCAAGCAAGGAAGCCTTGCTAAAAGTGTACTGGTAGCTCTGCACAGCTGCTCCATGCTGACTCCCCACCCTGCTGGAACTGTGCAGTCTCTAAAACCAAGTGCATTTCCAAAGTCATTTATGAAAGGAGAGAGGGAGAGAGCGAGCGAGAGTGAGCTTGACTGACTTGCTAACTTGGAAAAACCTCCAGCACCCTATAACTGAAAGGGAATAGCAGTACAGTGCAAAGCCAGTCTTTGGCCCCTTTCAAACAATGGATACTGATTCCAAAAAAACACACACTCAGTCCTCATGAGGAAAGCTTTTGCCTGTTAAGAAGGCTTATTACTGTAGCATGCAAGGAGCTGCCTAGCTCATTAGATAAACTGTCCAACCCAAGACAAAGGAGCAGACATTTTATAATTCTATTTCAAGAAGTTTAAAAAAATTAACAATAGACCTCTCCCCTATTCTGGAAGGAGATTCCTCCTTTAGAAAAATCTCCCTGTAAGTGATACACCCAGGCCTGAATTGTCAAGGCCAGGACTGCTCAGACTCCTTTGCCCCTGTCGTCTGCAGCTATAACGCCTCTGCCATCTCCTGCTCCAGGGCTGCCCTGAAATAGGACATGAATGCAGGCCCAAATTGTCTATCATACTATTGGATCTGGAGTAGTCTTCCCACCACAGGACCACCGTTTAACTGTTCACCTTAATACTTTGAAGGATAGGAAGACAGCTTGTGTTATGAGAAATTGCTTTTATACAGTGTAGACCAAAAAGTACAAGATGAAAGGACACAGATAATAAAAGTTAGATTTATCTAACAGCCATTTTCCTTATTGGTTGGGAAAATCTGTAGTGAGTGGTGATTATATACCATTCAGACAATTCCGTGTTGCATGTAGGAGCGTCTCACTATCCTGTGCAGCTCTTAATTTACACCCAGGCCAGTTTCTAATTTACCATCAGTAACCATCAATTTAAAGGACCGTTTTGCATGCTCCTCAGACTTAATCTCCACCATTTATTAACTTTGATTTCATGTGTTTAACAACAGCTTTCTTTTTGCTTCTACCCTAAATAACTGAGAGTTGGCTATATGCCTTTTACAGGGAAGAAAAAAATAGCTTTCCTACTCAGATGCTTTTTTTTTTACTATGAGCTTTCACAAAAATTTAATAATGCCCACATTATTACAATGAAAAACGGTAATGAACTTAGACCTAACTATACTTTTAAACAAAGTGTGTAACCTGGCTAAGCTGATGACTTTGTTGAAAGAAACTGTAGGTGTTGCTGAGACACCTTGGACAGGTGCAGTGCCATGGAACGTACAGGAGACTGCTTCCTCTCTCCTAGAGATCTGCTTTGACTCCAAAACAGATGACCAGGTTTTGAGTCATCTGTTTTATAATGCTGGCATTTCTCTTTCTTGATAGAAGCAAAAACCATACTCTTGCCGAGTTCATGTGTTCTGAAACTTGGAAAAGTCTCCTTTCCATGGAATAAGGAAAGCTTTGAAGTTCCTTGTACCTAAGAGGTGCAACAACAATTCTGACATCAGCAATGTCCCTTTCTGACTTAAAAAAAGATTGGTCCTTAGAATGTTCATATTATTCTACATAAATGACTTCCTAAACTTTTTTATAATTGTATTTTTTTAACCCAAGACTCATCATAAACCATTTAATTAAGCTAAATTAAAACTGATTTTAGCAGAAAGTAGAAATAATGCTTTAGAATACAAAATATCACCTACTAGTGATTTACAATCTGAAACTGGTAACAACTTAAACTAGATAAAAGATACATGTAGTTAAAAAAAAAAAAAATTTCCAGTCTTTTCCCTTCTCCCGAGGAAAATTTTACATCTGATATCACAACACGGGCCCTTGGCAAACTTTCGAAGTCTTCCGAAGATTACATGTTGGCAGACTTACTGGTGGTCTCCTTCAACTCGTCTCTTGCGAACTATGAGAAAAAGAATGTTAGAAATCCCTGTTAGTTTGTACAGTGTTAATTTGCTTGTGACAAGTTTCTGTGTGATCCAGTTAGAGTTGTACAAAAATGGATTGTCCATTTGTAGTTCAGACGGCCATTAAAATAAAAAACTCACATCCTTCACCATGGTTACTTACCTGTTACGAACTGAGGGGCTAAGCTCCGCGGTGCTTACACTGCAGTAACATTAGAAATCTACAACAGAATGGTCGGCAGTCACCTTCAAGTCACTGTGCCTGTCTCATTTGTGTATTAAAATTTATACCTCCATTAAAAAATGATTAATAACCTACTGTATTAAATTTTGAAATGACATTCAGGCAGCTGGGATTAGAAAGTATTAAACGTAACTATTTGCATGCTCTTCTGATTAATTCCTCAGTTTGTGCAAGAACATACCAAAAATAGTATTATCCGTTTCAAAGGTAAGTGACTTGCTGCTACTGCTCTCCAAATTTTCCTTCTCTTATCTCCTACAAAATGAGCCACTTCAGGGCTCTGAGAAAACAACAAATGCAAAGTAATGAAGATCTTAGACCCTGGTAATGTGGTGATGTCACATCTCGCTACCATAAACTTGGGCAGCCACAGCGGTTGGTCAGCTAGTCCAGTTAATGGAGTAAACGAAGGTGCACATCTGAGGACCCCCAGCCTCCTCCCGGGCTGGTGACCCTGAGCCGACTGGCTGTGCTCACTAGCAGCAGGGCAAAGTCTTCAGCATCAGGGTCTTGCTACCTTCACTCTCACCTGTCAGCTACCAGAGAATATTTGCTGAGAGCCACCAGGTCAGGGCTCCTCAGCATTGTGGCAACTCCTATTTAGAGAGGAAAACGAACACAGGTTCTGGAGTCAGCAAGAGTGGGAATCTGTTGCTTTTTGTGGTTTGCTCTTTGGCAAGTAAGGTAACCTCTCTGAGCCCCAACTCATCCTCTGTAACAGGGGATAATGATACCTGTACCTCACGGCTGTGCGAGTGGAGTCTGCTTAGTGTAGTGTTAATATAGAAAACATTCAGTGAAGGTACTCAGCCTCGTCACCCACCACAGTGGGGTCACGGGATGGTCCTGAGGTCAGCCATCTTTTCGGGATGAGGAAAGTCAATTAGCTTTTATAAAGCTAGAGGATTTGCATGTATACATAATTGGTTTTGATACTCTAACCAGTAAGTTCCTCTGTTTAAGTTACATTGTTGGTCTATTAATTTCTATACTCTCTTCTATGGAAGCAAGTAGGAAGACACCTGCCTTTGTTCAGCCTGAATTGGCTGTTTTAACAGAGGAATGAAAAGCTAACAGGTGCACTGGCCTCCCGGCCAGGCTACGAATTCTGTGCTCTCATGCTGTTCTGACTGCTGGCTTCTGTTCACTGGCCTTCAAGAGATGAGACTGGACAGTCAAGTGATGCACATAAAAGCTTGTCCAGAAAATAAAAACCAGGAGGACTGAAGTATCAGGTCCCCATGAACATTTTTATACTTATTTAACTAGGTGCACCCCAACTCTAATTTCAGTCCATGTTAATGAACAAGTTTCATGTATTTACTGAAATATTAGGGAAGAAATCAAATGGAGAACTGAGTCCTCAAATACAAACTTAATTCATGTATATGGATCTCTGAAGAACATGGATATATCTGAAAGGCAAAGCACATAATTCTTTAGGGTAGAACATTTCCAAGAAAATTCTGAATTGCAGTAGTGTTTGGATGTTATTGGCAGACCATTTCAGATGTTAAAAAGCATGTTATTAAAAAAATGCACATTATAAACAAGATCAACAGGACAGATGGAACAAACCAAAAAAGTACAGAAAATTAATTATGTAGTTAGCTAGTGTAAAGGTAGTAACGTGAGACAAAGTTCAATCGAATATTGCACGTACACCATATAACCTCTTTGCTGTTATAGCCGTGATACTCCTTAGCTGAAGAGATGGCGAGTAGGTAGGATTATTTCAATGAAAAGTTGAGACTAAGAAAACAATGAGAGAGGGAAAGACAGTATCAAAATCAGAACACTAAAGCTCTGATGTAGCCCCATTTGCAAGGTGAAGAAAAACTATATGCCCCTTTGATGCTGTACAAGTTTCAAGTCTTGTGCTCCAATATCTCTGTCCAGTTACCGCATACTAGAATGCAAGTAAGAAGACGGTCTTTAGGCTTGCCACCTTGATCCACAGGCAGAGATCAAAGTGCAGGGCTAAGAAACAAATCCAGCTGAGGGTGGATGGAGGGCCGGCTGCTGTTGCTGTGACACAGCACAGCAGAGGGAGGCGGGCAAAGAGCACTTCCGACCCCTCTTCCTCACTTTGTGCCCACTTGTTACCTCAGCAATTCTTCGGTTCATCCTGTGGATGAAAGACTAATAAATTCGGCCCTATTAACAATTCTTTGGCAATTTCTTTCCAAAATCCACTCCACTAATATACGTTCTCGATACTTCATGATTAGTCAATTGCCAATAAATCCTAACTAATCTCATTTCATCTCTATCTCCAGAAGAGTAATAAGAATAGTGTTTTTGAAGTATCATTTTAATCATGCACTCAGTGGCTTATAATGGCTCTCAAATGCCTCCATGTAAAGTCCAAAGGAATCTAAGTTCCTTACCACATAGTTTTAGTGCCTTCTATCAGCATTCCCTCTTAATCCGCTGAAATATTTTTTTTTATTCTGTTAGCTTCAAATAGCAAGTGCTTGTTGAAAGTTTATTCTGGATCCTGCATCCTGTTATGAGAGTCACTTCTCAAAATCTGCAGGCTGTCTTCAGCATATAAATAACTTGCTTACTCCCAAATCTGAGCTTTTATTCATGCAATTCCTCACTCCAGGAATGTCCTTATTCTCATTTCATGCCTAAGACCCATGTCTGAAGATCTGGTTTGGATCAGAGTGAACAGCATGGGGAGGGCGGGCAGCTTGTCTAGAGAGCTGCCAGCACACAGCTGTGTGCCGTTTCTCACCTCTGCTTCGTGTCAGACTGCACCTTCTTCTACACGGTCTCCTCATCCTCTATTACACACGCCTATGCACAGCAGCTCCTCGACCGCTCAGTGTTGACGTAAAGCAGCCGAGGGAACTGTTTTCATCTGCTCCCCTCACCTTCCATCTGCCAAAATCTTCCTTGCTCTAACATTAGGCCCTCTTTTCTTAGAAAGATGTGGGCAAAGCACCTGCCATAACAGGCTCGCAGAAGAGCACAACTGCTGAGGCCCTGAAAGGCTGGCGTCCCTTTCACATGCAGGGATGTGCGCGTGCAGACTCTCACCCTGCTGCTCGCCGGCACCGCCTCCTCGGGGAGGGGCATAGCTGACAGACATGGCTAGGGCTACAAATACGTCGGTGGGATCCTGGGACAGCTAAGGTGGTTTCTGAGGAAAGGAAGAATGGAGACACTTCTGGCTTAAGTTTATAGCTGCTTAGCTACCAGAAATTTCAACTTTAACCAGGATTCAAATTCTACTACTTTTTTTTACTTAATAAATGTTAAGTACCTACTATTGTCACACATGGTTTTAAAGAAAGTTGTGAATTCACCAGATACACATGGCCCCTGACCTCCAAAAGCTTAAAGTCTTTGAAAATAGGCTATTACAATGAAGTATAACCTAGTAAGTAAAAAACTAACTTTTTAGAGCCAACAATGTATACGTTCTTAAGGTTCTCTATTTATGAAGTTCAGTTAGACTTGAGAAACACTGCTCTAAAAAGCAAAATTAAATTCCTGAAGGAAAAAAAAATAGAAGCCAACGAATGAAGCAACACTAAAATATTAGCATGACCTTGCAAACTACATCTAAAATCAACAATACACCAAAACACACCAAATTTCTCTTTTAAAAAGCAAGACGCTAAAATCTTCCATGGGAAACTACAGTCATCAAAGGACAGAAAGGGTTTGAACTAATACTTTTCACAGTGATCTGGATTAAAGGAATGAGGCTGTAGTTCTGCTCCAGAAATCTTTAAAAAACTGCAAACTCAAATATGGCCAAAGCCTAAAAGAACTGCATAACGGTGAAATGTGACTCGCTTTAAGAAGTATTATTTTAATTCTTGTCTAAATGCATTTTTTAAAGTATTTCAATGACAAACACCAAACTTAAAACTCAGGTTAAAACTATTTTAGGGACTTCCCTGGTGGCACAGTGCTTGGGACTCCACGCTCCCAATGCAGGGGGCCCGGGTTCAATCACTGGTCCGGAAAGTGGATCCCACATGCATGCTGCAGCTAGGAGTTCGCATGCCACAACCAAGGAACCAGCGAGCTGCAGCTGGGGAGCCCACAAGCCGCAACTGGGGAGCCCACATGCCTCAACTAAGGAGCCCTCGTGCTGCAACTGGGAGCTGGGAGGCCAGCAAGCCGCAGCTAAGGAGCCCTCCTGCTGCAACTGAGACCCGAAGCAACCAAATGGATAATAAATAATTTTTTTTTAAAAACTATATTTTATATTTTACCATATAAAACTGAATTTATATCTAGGCCTTTGATCAAAAGGGCAAAACTTTCCTATAACATTGAAATCTTTGTTTTACTAACTCCAAGAGGTGACTTGTAATTGAGAACAAAATATTTTTTAGGGAAGCATTTTTTATAATGTTTGTTATAGAAAACTATTTCACTAAAAGCTGTGAAATAGGTTGTCACCCACTAACCTATAAGCACTACGACCTCATTTAAACTGAACTATAATTCAGTGAGTTTTATAAAGGACTGTGTGGATTTTAGAAACAAAAGCCAAATAATCTTCCTGTATAAAAATGTATTTTAAAAAAAGTCCCTCCAATACATTAGCTTAATGATACAATTCAGAAATTCAGTTTCACACCGAATATGTCTTACCTAAGTCATTATTTTTTGTTATAGCATTAGCTGCCCTGGTTCGGGGTCCCTGCTGCGTAAACTGATACCCAAATTTAAGGATATTGGTATTTTCCTCAAGCATCTTGGCCATTTCCAATTCTACAGCCGTCCCCAACTGCTGCCTCTGGAATAATTGAAAATAGAGAATAGTATTAATGAGCTAATCAAAATACTTTTTCAGGTACATGCTGATTCCTTAAAAATTTTCCCAAGTCTTACACCATACATAAGAGAAACAAAAATGTAAGTTTAGTGTATGATCATACAGACATCAAAAAAATGTGGATTATTACAGTGAGAGACCACTTCATACCCACTAGGATGACTATAATCAAAAAGACAGACAATAGGGGCTTCCCTGGTGGTGCAGTGGTTGAGAGTCAGCCTGCCGATGCAGGGGACACGGGTTCGTGCCCCAGTCCGGGAGGATCCCACATGCCGCGGAGCGGCTGGGCCCGTGAGCCATGGCCGCTGAGCCTGCGCGTCCGGAGCCTGTGCTCCGCAACGGGAGAGGCCGTAACAGTGAGAGGCCCGCGTACCGCAAAAAAAAAAAAAGACGATAGTAAGTGTTAGCAAGGATATGGAAGAATTGGGAGCTTTAGGCGTGCTGGCAGGAATGTAAAATGGTACAACTGTTATGGAAAACAATTCGGCTATTTCTCAAAAGGTTAAACACAGAGTTACCGTATGACTCAGCATTTCCACTCCTAGGTATATACCCATGAGAAGTGAAAACATATATTCATATAAGAATCTGTACATGAATGTTCACAGCAGCATATCTGTACAATTCGAAAAGTGGAAACAACCCTAGTATAATAGATTATTCAGCCATAAAAAGGAACAGGTACTGATATATGCTACAACATGAATAAACCTCCTTAACATTTTGCTAAGTGAAAGAAGGAAGACACAAAAGGTCACATATTACATAACTCCATTGATACGAACTGTCCAAAATAGGCAAATGCATAGAGACAGAAAGTAGATACGTGGTTGCCAGGGGTTGGTGGGCAGGGCGACTAGGAAGTGACTGCTGATGGGTGTGGAGTTTCTTTTGGGGGCGATGAAGATGTTCTGGAGTTAGACAGTGGTGATGGTTGCACAACTCTATGAGTATACTAAAAACCATTTAATTGTATACTTTAAAAGTAAATTTTATGGTAAGTGAATTATATCTCAATAAAAAATTGGAAACATTGATTAAATAGCATTCTGGTTAAATTTTAAGATATAACTCTTCTTTCTACCTTCATAATCTACAAAATTTACTTACTTTGAAGGATTAAGGGAGTCATTTACCACATTTTTTTTAAAATAACAAGTTATTTTTCAAATAAAATAGACTGAAGTGTTTTAGTCAAATGTGTAATGTTGTTTTATTTTTAGTTCATTACCACTCTGTATGGAAACACCTCTAACATGTATATTTCTCTGCTTCTTTAAAGAAAAGTGCATCTGGCATGGGTGACCCAGCATTATCTTACAGTGTCAGCACTGAATGTGGCTGCATAGGAGTTATGTGTCTCTGGGTAACCTGGGTACTGGAGTTTTCTGTTTTTCACTGAGCCTATTCTGTTCACCTACTGTGTCTGGGACTGACATGCTACAGATGCAAAAATTCTATTATGTGGATCTTGCCACTGAAGAGCTGAAAAATTTGAGGATGGACTGTCACCTGTAAGAATTATTCCAGTCCAAAACAGCCAGCCATCTAAATTCTCTTAAGACCAGCCAGGGAGAGTTGCTTGTATACCTTTCTATACATTAAGTTAATATTCTGGATGCCCCAAATGTTCTCTCATCCCTTTTCAGGACCACCTTCCGAAGGGTTCCCTGAAAGCCCTCCTCCCACCCACCTCCTGAGTCCCTAAGCCCTGCACAGAGTGTGGGCTGTAGTTTCCTCAAAGCTGCTGCTGTACATCACCGACCTGATTGTCGATTTTCAGCTCAGCCAGGGTTTCATTATCTCTCAAAGCATCAATCAGTGCTAGAATCCCAGCTCCTGTAATAAAGTTGGACTCCATATTTAAGCTCTTCAAACTTTTGTTCACTCTTAGCATCTCTGCAAATGCCTGGAAATTAAAGAAAATATTTGGAGATTACAGTTTGACAGCACCTAGTAAATAAACACTGAACAAGCCTGAAACAAATACACAAATCAATACAACTGCTTTAATGTTTCTTATTAGATTGTTTTAGCTTGACACACTACACCTCACAGGTCTCACATGTATCTATTTTCACATGCACTTGGTCACAGACTTTAGATTTTTTTTTGTCATGTGTAATTCCCCATCGGTAACATTCTCTACTGCTATTCATTCCTACTTCCACTTCATGCTTCTTTCTCCTGCGTCTCTCATACTTTCTCTGAGTCTCTGTGTAGAAGTAACTTCATCAATGTCTCTTTGCTTTTTTATTTCCCTTTGCCGGCACCGCACAGCATTCAGGATCGTAGTTCCCTGACCAGGGATCAAACCCACACCCCCCTGCAGTGGGAGCGCAGAGTATTAACCGCTGGACCGCCAGGGAAGTCCCCTCAATTTCTCTTTCGAACATCTTTTCTTACTTGCGTCCTGCTGCAGCTGGGTTACTGTGAAGCCCAAATGAGGGTAAATTATGGACTAATTTCCAAGGCAGGGACCAAAAGGACTGCCTAAGGCAGAAGGCCAGAAAAGATCACAGATGACTGGAACTGAGAGAGCACAAAAACTATGGAGAAGGGGCTAACTAAATATTCAAAGAACGGTATATTTTCCATCTGCTTCCGTGACATTTCTCACAGGATATGGCAGTGCTAGGAATTTGACCCAGTGCTTAATAAGTGCTATACTGATTAATTAACAAAGCCTGTAAGTGAGCAGAAGGGAGCGGGGAGGAGGAAGAAGAGGAGTGTGAGTTTATTTACAAAGCCCTGCAGAGGCGTCAAAAGAAAGGCCAAACTCCAGAGAATATGGGTAAGATCAAGCTTAAAATTAAAGTCAAGTTAAAGAAAAGGCAATACTGCGCAGTGATACTAGAAAGAACTGGGGACAGATATCTACACACTTGAACATCCTAATAGCAACGACTGGCTGTGTGACTTGGAGCAAATCCCTTATCCATCTATCTGTACACACATTTATTAAAATATTACAATGGCCTATTTTTGATAAGTACTGTTCTGTAAATTCAGAAATAAAACATACAAGTCTCTACCTGATGGAACTTACATTTTAGTGGGGGGCCCATATAGTAAGTAAGCAAAATGTAATGTCAGATGGTAAAAAGGGCTATAGAGGAGGAAAAAAGGCATAGCAGGGTGGATGGGGAGTGCTGGGGGTAGGAGTGGGGTTGCTGTTTTATATACGGGGGTCAGGAAAGGCCTCACCTGGAAGGTGACATCTGAGCAAGGACTGAAATAATTTAAGTGATGAAGTAAAATTACGTGGAATATCTTCAGGGAGAAAGTTCTAGGCAGGAGGAACAAGTGTAAAGGCTCTCAGCTGGGAGCATGCACGGCATGTTTGAGGCAGAGCAAGGAGGCTGTATGGCTGGAGCAGAATGAAAGAAACAGCAAGAGGGGAGATGAGGTCTGCTCATGTAAGGCCTCATTAGGCCACTGAAAGATTCTGATTTTTACTTGGTGAGACAGAGAACTGCTGGAGGGTTCTGAGTACAGGAATGAGAACATTTAAGTTTTAAGAGTCACTTCTGATGCTGTGTATAGAGATGAAGCAGGCAGCTCAATTAGGATAATCCAGGTGAGAGAAGTCAGTGGCTTGGACCAGGGTGGTAGCTGTGAAAATGGTGGGACGTGGTTGGATATACAGGAAATATTTGAAGACACAGCTGGATATACATTTAAAGTTGTGAGAAAGGGAAGTCAAGGATCACTCCATTATTATTATTGTTATTTTATTTTTTTGACTTGAGCAAATGAAAGAATGAAGTTGCCATTTAGTGAGATAGGAAAGAGTGTGAGAGAGGCAGGTATGGGACGGAAGTCAGGAGTTTGGTTTGGGACTTGGGTTTGAGACGTCTGTTAGATATACAAGTAAAGCTGTTAAGCAGTAGCTGGACATGGGTTTGGAGTTGAGGGGAGAGGTGTCAACTGGAGATAATAATATTGGGAGTCATCAGCATGCATAGATAATATATAGCAATGAAACAATGAGATCACCCAGAAAGTGAGTGCAGATAGAGAAAAGAAGGAGGACTAGAACTGAGCTCTGAGCCCTTTAGATGTTTAGATGTTGGGGAGATGAGGAGGAACCAGTGTAGGGACCAGAGAGGTAGGAGGAGAATCAAAGGGAGTGCTATCCTCAAAGCCAAGAAGAAAAGGGTTTATACCCTGATCAAGTGGGATTTACCCCAGAAATGCAACGTTGATTTAACATAAAAATTAATCAGGGGCTTCCCTGGTGGCGCAGCGGTTGAGAGTCCACCTGCCAGTGCAGGGGACATGGGTTCGTGCCCCGGTCCGGGAAGATCCCACATGCCGCGGAGCGGCTGGGCCCGTGAGCCATGGCCGCTGAGCCTGCGCATCTGGAGCCTGTGCTCCACAGCGGGAGAGGCCACAACAGTGAGAGGCCCGTGTACCGCAAAAACAAAACAAAGTTAATCAATGTGGGACTTCCCTGGTGGTGCAGTGGTTAAGACTCCGCCTGCCAATGCAGGGGACACAGGTTCGATCCCTGGTCCAGGAAGATTCCACATGCCGCAGAGCAACTAAGCCTGTGCGCCACAACTACTGAGCCTGCGTTCTAGAGCCCGCGAGCCACAACTACTGAGCCCACGTGCCTAGAGCCCGTGCTCCACAACAAGAGAAGCCACTGCAATAGAAGCCTGCGCACCGCACTGAAGAGTAGCCCCCACTCGCCACAACTAGAGAAAGCCCATGCACAGCAACGAAGACCCAATGCAGCCAAAAATAAAAAAATAAAATAATTATTAAAACAATCAATGTAATATACCATATTAACTGAATAAAGGACCACATGAATAAAACCACATGATCACCTCAACAGACACAGAAAAGGCATTTGATAAAAATTCAACACTATACATCCATAAATGGAACCCTCTGCAGGTGTTAAAAGAATGATGTATAACTTTATATGTTGATATGAAAAGATCTCTGAGATACACGGTTAAGTGAAAAATTAAGTTGCAGAACAGCCTACACTGCATGACTCCATTTATGTTTAAAAAATTTCATAGAAAGGAAATACCGAAAAAAGTAAACATAAAATGGTAGTAAATAATGTATTGCCTAATAGTAAACATCAATTGAAAAAGTAAATTTTATTTTTTTTACTGATATTTGCTTTTATTGATTGTTGCACATCATGGTTACTAACAGTTGATCTTAAAACACAGTTCTGAAACTACATTAAAAAATTATTTTAGTTTTTAAATTTATTTTTTATTGAAGTATAGTTGAATTAAAAGAGAGTAAATCTTGTTCATAAAATCAGTTTAAGCACCTTTGTAACATGCCCTGTACACAGCCATAATTTCGATATTATTAGTAGTTAGCTTACTTACAACAGCAACGGGGTCATTGCTTCGGGTGGCTGCAAGACTGAAATATTTCACGTGTGTGTTGGTTTCCAAAGCCTTTGCAAAATCTTTTAGGGTTGGAATTGGGATATTCTTGAAAGACAAAAATGTGAAACATTATTACATTTTAGGTTTCAGGAAATTCAGTCTTAACATTAATCAAATACATCTGTACTTTCTTTTTTGCATTAAAATGTATTCAGAAATTATGTAACATACAACCGCTGGTCTACAACTGAAAACAAACAACTCAGCCTCCTTCTTACTTCTTTGATTTCTCTATTATGGTACAAACTGTTGGCATAGAGCAGAGCATACATCACTGTTTCTCTAGCACTGAGGTTAAAGAAATTCTTTTTAATTATTTGTATTATGAGAAGTCAGCCCTTGAGTACTCAAAGTGGATCCACTTTTCTACAAAGAGAAAGATGTGGGAATCTACTTATGATGATCCCTGAGGCAGATGACAACTGTTTTCAGTCACTCAAGCTGCAAGGTGTTAAGAGAGATTAACTCTACATTTCTTGAAATGAGGAAAGACATAGTTTTAGGAGACACTGATCTTTCCCCTTGGTACCAAGACTTCAATTTCCTGTAGCCTGCCTATTTTCAGATTGTTACTATTGATTTAGAGACAGACATACACTGAATTGAACTGAATTTTTTTTAAAAATAAGACTAGTGATCAACTAGGGATATTAGCTTTCCCCAAGGCTTTTCCCCCTCCACTCACAGGAAGGAACACCCACAAAAAGAGCACAGAGGTCTTATTCCCTAGGTTCTTGTAATTTCCACATGTTCTCCCTTCCTCCAATTCAGATATATTAAGATTTAAAATGAGGAATCTGTAATGAAGCTATTATACAATGGCTAATACGTTGAGATCATCTGAGTTTTACTCTTTGGTAATTAATTATCCCTGTGCCCTCCTAACTCATTTCTTCTTTCTTTACTCCAAGGAAGAGTTGCATTTTAAAAATCCCAGTGAGATCCCACAAAGCCCAATTCTAGGTGTTTACTCAAGAGAAATGAAAACATACATTCACACAAAAACCTGTATGTGAATGTGTATAGTGGCTTTATTTATAATCATCCCAAACTGGAAGCAACTCATATGTCTATCAACTGGTGAACGGACACACAAACTGCAGCACATCCAGACAAAGGAATGCTGCTCTACAACACAAAGGAGCAAACCACTGAGACACACAACAGCATGGACGAGTCTCAAATGTACTGTGTGAAGTGAAAGAAACCAGACTCAACGGCTACACACTATATAGTTCCATTTATATGAAATTCTGGAGAAGGCAGAACGATAGGGAAAGGAAACAGATCCCTGGTTGTCAGGTGCTAGAGCTGGTGGCAGGGAATGATGACACAGGGTTGTGACATGTTCTACACCTGACTGTGGTGGTAGTTGTACAACTATATCCATTTGCTTTAACTCATAGAACTGCACACTAGAAAGGGAGAATTTCACTATATATACCTTACAGCTCAAGAGAGCTGATTAAAAAAGCAAAACCTGAAAGGCTAAAATGCTCCTAAAAGTGGGCAGTACTTTGGAAGCCCGAGAGGTATACTCTGACAGTCAGTAGAGTTTATATTTCTATGTAATAGGCTTTAAAAAGTAAATCAGAAAAATACTATAATACTTTAACTTCTAAAATCGAAGGAATCTACGTTAGTATACTACTAGAAGTAAAAACTTTACTATTAAGTAGAAAGGATTAGACTATATCAAAACTGCCCAGCTCTCATCCTAGATCCAACTGACGCAAAGCAATTCAAAACAACTTTTTGTTTGCTTATCACACCTACCTTTATGTTATTCAAATTAACTTCAACAAGACGAACATCATTTTCTTTAATTCTCTGTAAACTCTCTTCAACATTGGTTGGATTTGGGGGCTCATCAAATACTGGAAGAATCTTTTCACCTTTTACCACATCTGTAGCAACAAATGAAAAGAGCAAGAGTGTAACTGGTTGATGCTATTACAGTGAATGCATAGATTAACTTGGAAACACACAGCACACATACACAAACATATTCAGTAGAACAAATTTATAAGTTTCTTTCCCCAAATTTCTTTTTTTTTTTTTTTTTTTTGGTCCTTGGGCCTCTCACTCTTGTGGCCTCTCCCGTTGCGGAGCACAGGCTC